GTAAAAAAATCAAAACTATATTTTTCCTTATAGATTGTCGCATCCGAAATACAAATTTAATTAACTCAATGTTATTGAATTTTAAGAAAGCATATTTCTGTTTTTGAAAAAACAAAAATCGGAGATTGTCCTTATGAAATTCGGTAAACATTATTCAAATTTCACTTTTTTATAAGATCTATGAGGCTCAATGTTCAAGTAAGATGCTAATCAACGTAGACTGTGACTTTAAAATTAAGTTGGCAACATTGAAGACTATACTAAGACAGACAATTTTCATGTCTTCTGTTTCTTCATTATTCAATGTTGGCAACTTAATTTCAATGTCACGGTTTACTTTGATCATAGATTAAACTGAACGCATAGTTCCTAAATATTTCAAAAAGCCATTTAGAAGTAGCGATAGCTATGACACAAGATAATAATGTTTATAATTAGTGACTACCTTTTGTTTTTATATTGCCTTAAATTCAACCAAATTCATGTATTGACACTGACTTTTTGTATTATTTCGTTCCTTACGAGACTTATAACATAAATTTTGCAATAACTATCCTTGTGTTTTTTCTCAAGATAGTGCTAAAGACAAAGACACTGATAAGAGATATAAATTACTTCCGCCAAAATGTCCTTTTAGACCTATGCACTTTCTTCGTTAGACCCTTGAGATTACTTTTGAAAGAAGAATTGCCAGTTGTGTTGTAAATCAGTCTTAGATATTCTTAGAATAGAGGAGGAGACACACAACCAACCAATACTTCCACGAAGTAGTAATTCAAAAATATCTTTCAACTGTAATCGTAATGACAAATGGTGAAATGAAAAATTAACAGGCACAAATACATACATTACTGAAATCGGTGTAATTTAGGAAAGCAATTACTGGTTCAATACCGAATTCGCGGAATTGTTCGATTGGTATTATAGTTAACACACATCAGCTTGAATAACAGCTACTGGTTGATATAATTTCCAATAACAAAACGAGCATATCGACAGAATCTTTTGAGCAGGTCTCGTATTCCTATTGTTGTCGTGACAAGAAGTTTATAATGTGTAATCCGATTACATTTAAAACTTGATCCGATCTAGAAATTTAATTTACAAGTAGCGATCGAAAATTAATCTGCAATTTCATCGGACTTCAGCAATCCAATCGTCCAACAATCGACGCGAATTGTTCTCAATTCCTATCCTGTTTGTTTTGCTCCTCATTATTCATCTTAGACAAGACAAAAAGAAGTTTCGGGCCTCAACCCCGGACCAATTTCGAACAAAAGGTTATTGACTAAGCAATTTATTACGCTCAAATCGTCTGTTACGCAAGCCTTTTTGACACCAGTGCTTCACTTCTTCGTCCACAGGTGTATGCTGCGTGTCTAGCGATGTTGTTTGCCAGTCATACCGACCAACATACTGAGTGTCCATTTATCAGTCGGATTGTCCTGTCAATACCCACTGATCGGAGTTTCGCCCTCCTGCCGTCTCCAACGGCCGTGATTGGGCTGGTTTTTGTCACGATGTCCGTTGCTTTGTATTGTCAGCCGCATTCTTTCGGACATGTCTATATATCAATCGCACTTTCGTTAGAAAATAAAGAAATGTCTGTTCGGAATGATCCTCAACTTGCTCTCGGCTCGGCAAGAAACACAATTGATTTTTTCTTCACAACTAGCGCTTAATGGCGTCTCTTCAGTGCGTGCACCAAATCGACACACGGTGCATAAACATTCCCACGTAGTAATTTCACTATTTTGGTTGCTAACAAGACGACATAATGATAGTTTAAATTGTAAATAATGATCCAGACCGGCTTTAGTCCCCCTAATTGCTTCGCAGTAAGTAATGCGATCTTGGATACACACGGTACAGTAATTTTACTAATAATACACCTCAAGTCAATTAATAAATTGATCATACAATTTCACGCTAAACACCTGCTAATAAACTTGGTTTCACACATACAAACGTTCAAAAAAAATAATAATAAGGAACTTCTACCATCTGGTAATCGTGCCTTCATTTAAATTTCTGTATTTAAATTGGCAACACTGAATACTATAAAGACAAAAGATATAAAAAGTGAGATGTCTCCAAGTCCCATAACTTCTGTTAATCAATGGTGCCAAACCGCAAGTAATAATAATGTTGATATTTTGATTTTCAAAGCAGACTGAAATAACACTGATTTGATTATGGTTTTTGCCCAAGTTGGAGTTTGAACGTATTACGAAAGGGTTCTATACGTAGCTTAGTATCATAATGCCATTAAACAAAGCGAATAAAATGTAAAAATTATTGAATAGTTCAATAGTTTATTCCATATATCAAGTCGTGATATTCTTATTGCGCCGATATTATAATTGAAACATAAGCCAAAGTCATTGTCTGTGAGACTGCGGAAGACCAACAATGGATCCAGTCATAATCGATTTACCAGTCAATACCAAGCACATATTATTAAACCTAGTAGGTGTTTTAATGGTAAGATATGCAAGAATAATTATACGTGGCACTTGTTTACACGCAAAAGTGTGGGATGGTGACAATCAGCAATGTCTAGTGTGGGTATGTCAAAAAATTGTTTGATTCCATCTGATTCTCAGCAGTTTTCTTGTCTCTGACGACTGTAATTGGAAAGTGCCGAATCACTGAATATTGTTCGGCTTTTAGTTAGCCATTCTTTTGATCATTCGGCTGAAAATCTTTTTATATCTCAATACAATGAGACGCTGTCACATCGACACGACTTTTGTTTTTCGATCTTTGCATTCCTTACAAAATTTCTCGCGACCTTCGAACGTTGCACAACAATGTGACTAGGAAAAAATCACAATTCTAGCAGTGTAAAAGAGAGGACTACCGGAGGTAAAGTCCGTCGGACATGAATAAAGCCTGACCATCATCCCAAATTTAAGACCTGTCCGATTGTGAACACAAAAGAGATCATGAGTTTGTTGAAATCCAAAAGATTTTAGGCAATGCGTCAATGTTACGTGCTGTCGATTCGGAGAAAAGAGATTGTTAGGGATGGATTGAATGGTTTTCGGTGGGTCTATACCTTAACGATGTCGTTAAAATGTTTGTTATTTCGGATGTTCCGGTCTAAAATCCCTAAATAAATCCTACAAATTGCAGAAAATCCACATTAGAAGATGTTTATTTATGTCTTGCTTTAAAGTCTTTAATGGATGAGGGAGAAACTCGTAAAACTTCGTTGCGTCAACGTAAACACTACCGGCTCACTGTTTCCTCACATTACAAAAAATTAGTATATTAAAACAACATAAAAATTACCATAAATACAATCAGGAATTCCTTCTCTCTCTAAAGTAGCAAAATGTAAGCTCAAATAAGCAAACTGTCAAATCAATAATAATAATAATAATTTATTGTTTCCTGAATGATTACCGACAATGACAAATTTCTGTGTCTATAGACAAAGAAATAGGATCCAACCGTAAACCAAAAGAGCCAACATCGAACGTGATTCGACACTTTTTGTATCAGCTCAACAAATTGTCTAACGAACAAACGCCTCATGGCTGCGAGCATTATTTAGAAAAAAATCACATTAGCAGACACCATATTTTCACCATAATGTAACAATTCAAATAGTAATTTTATAAATAAAAAACACCAGGTGTAAATAAACTAGAGAACTATTTTCATAATAAAATGAGTAAATGACACCAAGAAAAGAAAGTCATTTCACTTAATTCTCAAATTTCTACTGTCCAAAAAATTATATTTACATTATCAGTGATTTACCTACAAAATGAAAACATACTACAATTTTGTATACAAAAAAGATCTGTGCATGGTATTGATAGATCATACTGGCAGAATTAGTGCCAAAAGTCTCCACTATTACATGGAAAAAATATGAAAAATAATAGAGTTCCTACAGATTTGTCCCAAGAATTAGGTATATTATACTTACATGCAAAATTATTATACATGTTTTTTTTTTTAATTGTAGAAAAATGTAGATAGCCACTTATGATTTAAACACACTATTACCTAATCTTTAACTTTGTATTTACAAAAATTTATACCTATATATCCGTTATTAAGAATGCATAAAAGAAGTTGTACTTAAAATTTAGGATAGAAGTAGTCAAGCAAACAACACCCAAAAGTACAAATTTGAAACAAAATAAAAAAATCCATTCCAGAAGAAACTCGTTACTCCAAGTGGAACCAAGAGCAAAATGTAGGTATAATACAAATCAGTTTTGTAATTATTTTCAATAAAATGTTAAAATAAATAGTATTTTAAAAAATTGGCTATGCTACTCGTAATTAGGATGTAATTTTAAACAAGTGCTTCTGTTGGTTAAAACTTTCTATTTTGTTAATCGTTGAAAATTATTAATCAAATTAAAATTTACAAAACTGACCTTTTTTCAAATAAAATTTAAATTTAGCAGTAATGCTGATAGTAACCTAGACCGCAGTCTGGACTGTCTTAAAACGCTTGGAAAATCATTAGAGTAATAAAATGGTCTGAGTCACAAAAATATCTCTTTTATAGTTGTAGTAACATTGATATCTACAAACTTTTCTTCTCTTTGGAATTGGTTTTTAAATCAAAGACCTGTACAATTCGTTCTTTATGTCTCTTTGTTTTTATTTAAATTTATGTTGACCAGTTTTTGAGATAAAAACTTAAACAAATGCCGTTAAAATCCAATAGTGTCATCTCCGACAATGACCAAAACAGTTATACATTTTCGGATGCTCATTTCCCGTTGCTGAGTTGGTTTTACATTCCCAGCCATCAATAATTCGTTTATCTTTTTCATTCTAATGATAAAAATAAATTCAACCAGAATCGTTAAATAAAGATGACCTCTTTACATTTTGTTCGACCGTCTTAGCGTGGTATTTTGCAATCAAAATTTATTATTATTAGTTCTGGATCTTGCTTAATTGCCTTTGCTGATTCTTTATCGTCCAAAAAAAGTTCAATTGCACTGTCACTGCACTGGACTCACCCTGGAGGCGTGGGATGATGGAAAGGAGCTCCTGGAGGCTGCATCCTTGGGTCCCAAACGTATCGTCCTTCGTGCGTGCGTTGGTCAACGGGAAGAGGTGCATGGAAAGCCGCAAAAGCCGACGGGAACTGTAACGGTAGACCAGCAGACATAGCGGCTTGAAAATCCGCCTCCTTTTCGGGCATATCGCACTAGTCACATCACTAAATTGTGTCACAACTGATTGTCACAAAAACGCGCTAGCGGTCATCCGCGCTGTCATCTAGCAATTTCTTAGCTAATTGGATATGTCTCAATTAATGACAGAACATGTTTTCAGCGCAGTGCTGAGGCACACGAGTCCGCGGTTTCCCCGGCGAATCATCGCGTTTTAAATTTTTAATAGAACTGTAATTGAGTTTGAAATCGGTGCGGGTGTTATCCAGTCTAGACACTTAATCCAGGCACTTAGAGCAATTCATGACGGTAAATTCGGAGCAGTTAAAAGAGACATTGTCGCGGAGGCACTTGCTGTTGATGCGTAAGGCACATGCTTTATTTGCTAATGGGTAAAGTACAACACAACCAGCCTATAGACTACGAACAACTAACTAGAGTAGAGGCAGGCGAGTAGTTGACAGGCAGGCCTTACAACTCAACTAACGAGTGTGGAAGAAGGGAGCACGGGGAGGGGCCAAACCCAGACCGACTGCGAGGGAATGGACTCACATTCTGTACTCTCTTATTTACACAGTGGCGTAGCAGCGAATTAGGAGCCCCGATTTATATCAATAAACCTTCCATTTTGTAGCCTCACTAGTCTTATGCTAGTTCTATCACTTTCCATTTCTACTCTAACGAAAACTTTGGTACGAGAGGTGTGTCAAATTTGTATTTTAAACAAGCGTTTTTTTCTGAAATTTGGTAGTTAATAAAAGTAAGAATGTGTAAGTTTATATTTGTTTCTAACTGTAAATAAACATGTAACATATTTAAGCAGAAAAGAAAAACAAACATTAAACTCACAATAATTGTACTAAGTAGATTCTGAATGAAATGCAATACCTTGTTGTTTTTATTTAACCATTATAATAACTATTATAACAACTGCTATAACTACCTATATGCTACAAATATTTTCAAATTTACCTGTCAAAGAATGGAATTTTTACTTTTCACATTTATATGAGGTAAACAAACACATTTATTTTTATTGTATTTGAGAATAACGTCTGCATTTCAATATCTTTACTATGAATATACTAGATAAAGCACATTTCCATTCATAATGACGTGAATCACAAGATGCTCAATAAACACAATGTTAAGTTTTTACGGCGGAATACAAATTTTGTCACGAAATTCTATACAAAATATATAAAGAAAAAAATCAAACAAACGGTGATTAACTTCTTAAGCTTAGAATTTACTCTTCGTGTTTAACATTATAACAATAAGGGGGTCGAATGTAAAATTAGGGCTAAACATTCATATAAATATATTTGCGTAAGTTCAAAACACTGAAACTTAACGAAGTATGTATATGTCTTTACATGTTTTTAAAAACAAAATATTTTGTTACACATTGAGTTTCCCGTTACTGTAAGTAATTTCAACAAAGCTAAAAATATGTAATTTTGTAAAATAATGGTATAGTACAGCAGAAGTAAGAAAGATTTCATTACCGCGAAAGCTCAAGTTAACTAACCAATGAGACGTTAAATAGAGTGCGAGTATGTAATAATGGCATTTCCCTCAAGGTTTGTATGCTACTTTATTCACAATAATATTTTTCTTAATCAAATTTTCGTATTAAGATACAATATGTTTCTGATAAAGCTTTTGCACTGACCTAGTTGATTGTACTAATTGCGTTTTTAACATTGAATTAATGTTTCTTATCAAATAGGAGTATTAAACAAAAATTTGTTTTATCTAATTAAACAAAATATTGTTCGATGCAATCAATTCAAAAATAGTAATCGTTGTGTACTGTGATGTCTGAAAGTGACAGTCAAATTGTAGCAACAAATGTTATTATTGTGGTGTTTAATTACTTAATTGTTGAAACCTGTAGACGTTTTGGACCTAAATCTGTATCATACAACTTTAATTGAGAATAAACATGATTATACCAATTCATTCTCTTGTTTTAGACACAAAATTTTGTTAACATTTTGCTAGAATGAAAGAAGAGTGTAAATTTTTAGTAAAGTTTTAACATAATAAATAACTTGAATAAATTGTCTTCTTCCCCGCTGAAATACGTCTACTATATTCTATATAAATTTTTAAAAATAAATTTTTCAAACTTCGTAAGTTAAAGAAAACACTCAGCTTTGTTAAATTAGTTCATGGTTTGGTCAGTTGTCAGAAATTTAAATTTGAATTCACTCTAAAGCAGTCAAATTTAATAAAAGTCATTCTAAAATTAGTAGTAAAGAATTCACCTTGCGTGTGAAATTTGGCTCTCCGCCGCTGGCGGATCGAGAATGCCTCTACTAACTTCATTAATGCTGTAGACTGCGAAAGATGCTCTGTTCTAATTGAAGAAGAGTGAGACGAAGCAAGATAGACCCGCTCCAACACTTTGGGGTACCGCTTATAATTTTACTAAATTAGTGTTTTTTGTGCTCGAAATAATAACAAGGCGTCTTTACAAACATCTGGTTGAAATATAAAATACCTATCATGACAAAATTCCCGAAACCTGCTCTTTCGATCCCCAATTTTAATGTGTTAATTTACATTCGGATATCTCTCTCTACATGTTTACTTTCAGATTTTTTGTATAGAAATATTTTATAGTGCCCCTGGCCGATCGTAAATATTTGCCTACATTGTAATTAAAGTTTTGATTGTCTTGACTTCTTAATTTATTGAGGTATCAATTTTCTTATATCCATCGAGATTCTAACTAGATGATATTCCTTAAATGGAAAAATAGTTTTCGCTTTTGTAATTTACACTTTAAAATCTTTGGAATGTGTCAGGAAAGAAGAATTTCAACCTTTTGTCTAGTTTTTAAAACTTAGGAAAAAATTCGGTGATAGTCCTTGAATATAATGAAATCAACAAGATGCCCATTCCAATATTTGTGTCCAGGTCAAATTGACGATGTGCAAAAACAGCATGGAAAATTGAGAATATCTCAATTGAGATAACACTAAAATGCCTCAAGAACCTGAATTCGGTATAATTTCCGTATAATTCTAATCTTTTTTGCATTCATTCACATTGTAGCCATGATCCATGCAATATTTTATCGAGAATATGGTTGCGGAAAAAAATCTAAAAAGCCATCCTGCGGTTTGTCGAAGAGTTTTTCATAAATCTTAATTTAAATGTTTACAAAAGCATTACAAAAATTTCCTTGAAAAGTGCTGATGTAATAATAAGTTCGGCACGACCGACACAAAATCGACCGTTCCACAAGACCGAAAAATCTCACACTCGAACACGAAATGAAAATATAGATGGATAAGAGAGGCAATAATCTGGGTGTTATTTAATTGTATTCAAACCAGAACCAGATTTGGAATCGTAGGAGTATTCAGTTTCCTCTCGAACGATAAAGTAAATAGAAAGATTGTTGGAGCAGTCGGTCCAGTTGCGGACAAAGCCCAAACTACCATATTCGACGAAGAAAGAAGCGCTGCGGATGACCTCTGCGACGCAGGATGAAGCAAGATGGTAGACGACGCAGCGGGCAGTGGAGTGAAAGAACCTGCATCCAAATTCCATAGGACCAACTTCATTCCATCTAACTTGTTACTTTATTCAGCGAGATGCTATGAAGATGACTTCATTATTACCACTAACTGAATTATTGTTAATCAAAATTTTGCATTATATTATAAGAAGAAAGACTTCTTAACCATCACAATAAATGCAATTAACTTTTGTAATACAGTAATACAGATGAGATGCTTGTTTTATTGCCAATGAAACAAAGAAGATATTTGAATGCTGGAAATGAATCGCTGTAATAAAATAACGGGCTATTTATTGCAAATCACGTACCTACTCCTTATCACAACTCACAAATAGAACATTTTTACTAAATGTAAAATATAAAATGACAATTTTTAAAAACTAATGTTTTGAATTAAAACATAAAAGTAAAATTTACATGTTTTAACTTTGTCAGATATTTTGATACTCATGCTACAAAAATCCATTTTTTAGCATTTTACGTTTTTCTGAAAAAACATAGTTCAATCCACGAAATCTAAAAATGTCTTTGAACAATGTGAAACATTCGAAGTTAGTTTCAATTTTAAATTTCTTTTAAAATTTATTCTGTTTACTTTAAAACAAATGCAATAATTACCGTGTCTTCAATAAAATTTCCAACAAGAGTGACCTGTCATTCTTAAATTGAATTGGCTATATTAAAAAAGTACACAAGACATTTTAAAATTTTAAAATTCTGCGACAATGCCATGCTGTTTAAAAATCATTTTGTACAACTTAAACTTGAAATAGCCAACAGGAAAAAAAGTTTTACTTTCAAGTCACACATATGATTTGAGATTAAGTATATCAATAGCACATTTTGTGTGACATCGACGAAAAGAGCACATAATATAGATATAATAAGTAATAATAAGTTATATCCTGGCATAGATGATTATTCTGTAACCATATGTTTAGCTTTTTGTATTCTATTCAAGATAATCTATATGAGCCGAACAATAAAGTTATTATTTGAAATGTCCCTCCTCTAAAATAATCATGGTACCGATTACATAATCAAGACAACGCCGACGTGGGCAGATCCATTTTGACCAAACCCCATGTATAAAAAAATCATAATTCTTTCGAATTATCCTCGGAACAATCACCTAGGCTCGAGGGAACATTCCCCAGGTAACGTGTGGCTATGATCAAACTCAACAAGAGCAACCAACATCAACTAGCAAAGCACCCGGATTCAAAATGTGACAGGGCCATGTTTCCTATAATTAATACATCCAGAAAATTAGATATAGCTCCCGTGATTTCGCTGAGAGATATAATAATATAATTCAAGCGAGGAGAACGAGTGTGGCCACGACCGCCTAATGTCTTAATAACTTCATTTATATATTCAAGGTCAAGCCAATCTTCTACACTCAGCTACAGCTGTTGTTCTTCTTTTTTTCGATCTTCTTCTTGCACCCCGTTCCAACTCACTTGCTCCTTTGCCCGCATATCAATGAAGAGACCGAGCTATGACCATTGTGCTATCACGCGCTCTTTCAAACACTGAAATTGGCCCCAATGAAAATATTTGCTTTTTTCATAACCGTATATTCAAGTTGTGTCCAATTAAAAGTGTGAAAAAAAAAAAAAACAAATCAAATTAGATGACTAAACTAAATAGTAGCACAATATAATCTAAAAATGGATGGAATTTTTATGTTAAAACCTAATGATTTTAATGTCAATGTACCTTTTTCAAAAATAATGCATTTCTTTTCTTTGTGTAAAAGTGTGCGGTGATATGGTGTATTAAACCGCTAATTGCTTAATTTACATTCATTTTGGGAACGAGAAGAATGTAGTTTCTCAAGTCTAGAATGAAATTTGCCAAAGGACACTGTATTTAATCAAGAAATTGCATACACATTAGTTACCGTAAAAACTGTTGATTAAA